TAAGTAGTTTTAGTAGTAGGTCATCCTAGTGGCAGTAACTTGCGGTGGAGCGTGAGGGTGAGCAAGGCCCCTGATGCTGGTGAGAGTGGGTAGGTGAGGACGCCACGCTGCGCAACGGCGAGGTGGACTTGGAGATATTACTACTATTGGTGCCGGTGTCCTCGATGGCTCAGGGAGATGGTGACGACAACTTTTAGGGGGGAAGTGAAGTGAGGGCGCCACAATGTAGGAGGAGGCTGTGGAAGTCGCCGCTGCCGCTGAAGGCATATACGCACGGGTTGAAGAACATAATCGCCATCGATCGATATGATAATGAGAAGGAGGCTGATGTATTTATAGGGGATGAAGCCGTGCACGCGTTGGTTACCCTCCATGGGGAAGGAGAAGAGATAGTGAGTTATGGAGATTAAGGAAGGCGAAGAGGGAGTGGAAAGTCAAGAGGCGTTCCCATCAAGAATTCTTAGCGGTAAAAGAGCGCTGCCATGAAGACGGGAAACATTGTGTTGCGGAGGAGAATCTTTTGGTAAAAGAAAAAGATGACATCAGTATGGGTGATGAGGTAGTGGGGCTGCTGATGTGGACAGCGTGCATGTCAAGAGAATTAGCTTAGTGGGATGATCTATTTAGGTATTATAGATTATAGATGTGTCGCGTGGTAAGGATTTAAGACCCATTTAACATCAATTTAAGCATAGTCTAATATGTACTCGCTCTATATTACAAAAACGTCATATATTATGAAATGGAGCGAGTAATAATTTTCCAATCATAGATACAATAAATAGAACATGAACATATGAGCATATGAGTATACTTGATGATCAATAGTCTCTTTAATTTTGGTGCCTCAGTCCGTCCGCTTCATCTCCAATGACCTTAGGGCCATGGGACCGGGAGTGGATCCCGACCCTTGCCGGTGAGAGGGCTTCGTTTTTAGATCTTTCTTCGAGTTTTGTTAGGGTTTGTGTCCTGCTCAGGAAAACGAGATGACAACGACTCCTTGAAAATGGAATAAAGTTCTCCCAGCCTAGGCTCCGTTCTGGTGGTGCTTTTAGCATCGTCGGTGGGCATGTGAAGGTGTGTTTCTGGCAGATTTGTCTTTGGTGGATTTCCTCATATCTGTTCATCGTTCGTCTTTGTTCTTGTGTCTCTAGGTTGGATTCTTCTGATTTACGCAACTCTTCATCGGCAGTGGTTGCTGCTCTGTTGCGCTAGTCCTATGGAGCCTTAATTAGCGCGACGACTTCCCGACTGCCTACTACAACAAGTATTGCCTAGCTCCGGTGAGGGAGGGGCGATGAAAACAGCGCGCCTTCGGCTCGCTTCAGTGCTTGTAGTCGTCGCTAGGCGGTCCACGAATCTGAATGTAATTTTTATTATTTCTAGTGTTCGTTGTAGTACTATGATTGAAGATAAATAGGTCGGAAGTTTTTCTGAAACAAAATAGTCTCTTTATTTTCTTATATGAATCATCAAAACTATGGGTCAACAATGCCTCGAAAAACTGAGGGTGGACATACAAGTTTTTTGTCCACCCCTAATCCAAGACAGCTAGGGCAAACTTTTCTCCTCGGACATCATCGGCGAGCCCGTGGATACGCCTCCCCTCTGCCTGCCGCTCCGGCGGCCGGTGGCGGGGAGGGGAATCTCAGTGCCTCTGCTCCGGTTATTAGTTTAGATTAGTTTTTTTTTTAGTGTTTGCAGGTGTGGCGCTCGGGCAGATGATGGTGTTTCTTCTTTGAGTTGTCTTCCGAGCTTCGATCCCCCTCAAGTTCATCCGTTTGAAAATAGTCGATAGAGCTTAGGCGTAGATTCTTGTTGTCTCCTGGGGGCGATGATGTTAGGGTTTGATTGAGCAATGATAGACCGGAAGAAAGTGGTTGTGAGTACCCGTTTTGTAGGACCGGCCACGAGATGGTGTGGTGGCAGGTGGCGCCCCTCCCTTTGATGTAGTCGTCGAAGCATTCCTCCTCTCCACTTGGCGGTGGTTCATTGGTTTGTGGGCTGTCGTGGGAGCTGTTGGTGTGGCTGGCCTGCCTTTTCTCGAGGTTTGGCGAGGTGGTTGTGGGCGGCTTTGTGCGTAAGTAGTCTTCGACGAGGGTTGATGCCGGTGGCGGCAGTGCACACGTGTACCGTTTTTCTTCGTCTCTCAAGAGCTCGCTAGCTTCTCTCTGAGCTGTGGGCTTGTTGGTGGTGGAATTCTGGTTTGCAACCGTCAACATAGTTGTGCCTTTTTTTTTCTTTGGCACGACTGCCCCTTAAGCAATCATGTGGTTGATTTCTTTTTTTGCATATTTGCCCCTTAATCAATCGTAGGATGTGTGGTTTTTGGCCGGAGCGCACTTTCAGTGCATGGCGGCATTGGCCCACTTAATCCACGTCGTCATATGCATGCGTCGTGATGGGCCAAAGGAACTACAGCCTGTAATATAGATCAATACGTGGAACATATACTACTTCCTCGCGGTAGCTATTGACTGCGGTTACGGTCCAGTATATCGAGTGCTACTTCACAGAATACTATAGCACATGTTCTAGAAATCTTTCTGCTTCGGCGATTTCAGAACAGGTCCACTTTGCATGACCATGGCGGGGTACGCACACAAAGTTGTGCCCGAGCAAGTCGAGTGCATCAAGTTGTCTGTAGGGCCAGCCATAATGACGAGCCAACATTAGCCAGCCAGGACGTGATAGTTGACCACCCAGACTAAAGCTACCAAGTCTTCTCTCATCGTTCCAGATCTGCCATTTTGCATCCTTGCGCTATGGAGTTCGTCGAGATGGATGGGCAACTAAGGTTGATTTTGGTTGTAATCTTAAGCAAATTTGGATCCTCCACTTAGTTCTAACTGTTATTATTTTCCATACCTTTAGATCTACCAACAGTTTGATCCCTGATTTCTCCGGGGCGGCGTCAAGAGATCGTGATGTTCTTCCATCTCAATCGAACTGTTCTTCAGGGTCATCTAGGGTTGGCGAGCTTGTCCGAGAAGAGGGAGGGGTCCTGCAAAAGGATGTTTTCCCTACTGATCCGGCAGCTAACGGGCAAGATCTTGAGGAGAGATCGATCGACCGGGGACCGGTTGATTCTGTTTTTGGTGCCCAGAGTGTAGAAGCTGTGGAGAGGCAACGTCAAAGTGGAAACGAAGGTTTGCTTGATAACTATGCTTTAATTTATTTACAAAATTTGCGTTGAATTATACCGGTGTGATGTGCTACATATTAACAAATACGACATGGAAGTGTTCACTAATATTAATTGACATCGCCAAAGTTACGTATGATAATTTTATTCGGAAGTGACATTTCCTTCTATCCTATTAAAAAATCATGTTCGTGGTTTTACAGCATGCAAAATACATGATTAAACAATTTTCCAAATACTTCAAATGGTTCAAAAATTGTCCTAGTTTAAATTTGTCGGCAAATGTAATTTGCAGGAACACTTGACTAGTTGTCTTTAAAAAAATATTTGAACTAGTGAAACCGCGTTCGAAGCGCGTGTATATTTTGTACATGCATGCAAATTGCTGGGCCATGGCCATTGTGGGCCAATTCTACACTGCATAAAGGCTGAAGGACATGGGCCCTGTGTTATGGGAGGCTATCTCAATGGGTTATATGCCAGCATTGCGGAAACTTAGATAAAACGGCCCATTCGTTTGGTCATATGCCAAAATTGTGAAAAAGGCCCGTTTTGATTTTTTATATGCGTTTATGTTACACTAGTTTGTGTTTGAGTGAATTAATTATCAACAATAAATATTCAGGGTTAGATTATCTGATGGAGACAACGAGAGAGAATGGAGCGCAGACAGAAAGAGTGCACTGGAGCTGACAATCCGCGGATTTGCAGAAAAGAAGGAAGGCGTTGTCATAAACCCTAAGATTGGGTTATCATTCGATTTGTTGAACGAGGCATTCAAATTTTATAATTTATATTCGTGGGAGATTGGTTTTGGGATACGTTTTGCTAGAAGCTGTCTAAATGTGAAACGCGCGAAATGCATGCAGGAGCTCGTATGCGGTTGTGCGGTAAGAAATGCGGCTTCGCTGTTTTTTATATATTATTATTATCTGATGACCAAAAGTGAATATGCACCGCGTTTTAATGTAGGGCGTACCAACAAAGGAGAATAGTAGGTCAACCAGGTGTGGTTGCGATGCAAAGATTCGTCTCTTGCGTTCTGCTGACAATGGATGGTATATCAGTGAGCACCACAGCGAGCATAACCACCCTCTGTCTATTACATGCGGGCAGAAGCTACATTGGAAGTCGCACAGGTACATTGATATACACTCTAGAGACTTGGTGAAGCAGTTACGAGAAAACAATGTAAGCCTAAGCAAGTATACAGTATTGTTGGAAGCTACTTCGGTACGTTGGAAAATGTACCCTTCACCAAAAGATCATTGAGGACCCTATGTGGTAAGCTTAGCAGAGACCAATCTGATCACGACGCAAGCAAAACAATAACCCTGCTACATGACTTGAAAGCTGTTGATCCTGACTTTACATACAATGTCCAGGTAGACGAAGAGTCTAGGGTTAAGACACTGATGTGGGTTCCTGGACGAGGCATAGACCAGTATAGATATTTTGGGGATGCAATTACATTTGACACCACCTATAGAACTAACTTGTATGACATGCCTTTTGGTTTGTTTGTTGGTGTGAACAACCATTTTCAAAGCATTATTTTTGGTGGTGTGTTAATGAGGGACGAGACGGTCGAAAGTTTCAAATGGGTGTTCAAGGAGTTTGTGCGGATGGTTGGCGGCAAACCGCCCGTTACAATGTTGACTGGTATGTACTACCTATTAAAATCATTTTTTTAAAGCCACGTCTCTTTCATAGAAGTATCTATAGTTTTAATCATTTATTTCATAAGCATGATTCAGACCAGGCCCGCGCAATGGAGTTGGCTATAATTGATGAACTACCGAATACATCTCACCGTTGGTGCAAGTGGCATGTGCTGAAGAAAGCGAAAGAAAGCTTGGGCGTCCTTTATAGGAAGAAATCGGAGTTCAAGAAACACTTTCAAATGTTGGTGCATCATTTTTTAACTAAAGAGGAATTTGAGAACGGGTGGGCAGAAATGTTAGCAAAATATGGTTTGCAGAAACATCCGTTCCTAACTCAAATTTTTGAGGCCAGGCATAAGTGGGCGAAACCTTACTTCATGGGTGTGTTTTGTGCAAAGATGACAAGCACACAACAATTGAAAGTGCAAATCATTTGTTGAAGGGGTATGTCCCGCCAGGATGTCCTATGCATCTTTTTGTTAAACAATTCGAGAAGATATTGTTTGATAGAGATTCGGAAGAAAGCTATCAAGAGAAACAGACTGCAATTGTAAGTGAAACTTCGGTATATATAATGTTTTTTTTCATGCAAAGAGAGTACATATTTTTTTATATAACTGTTTTTCACTGAATAAATTCTGTTTACTGGATAAATAGTCAGGTGTGGTCCTGAAGGGGAATTGGCCGTTGGAACGTCATGCAAGCAAGGTGTATACACGAAGCATGTTTGAGCAATTTGGTGAGTCTTTGTACAAGGCTGGTTCTTTTGTCACGGAGGAGGTGGAGCATCGGAGGAAATATATTGTGAGCCATGTTGAAGCTGAGAGAAGGAACGGTTGGTGCAAAGTCATTTTCATAGTTACCATTAATGCCGACATGACGGAGTTTGTGTGCCAGTGCGGCTTTTTTGAACATGCGGGATTGTTATGCCCTCACGCTATTAAGGTCAGCATTACTTCACTCACGTGAATAATTTTAGGGTCCTGCCAATGTATTAAATAAATATTGACTTACAATGACTTGTTATTAAAAAAATTGATTTTGCCAGGTGATGCTAGACATGCGGGTTTTGGAGATACTGAAGAAGCATATACTGAAAAGGTGGACTCGGGATGCCAGAGACATTCTGCCAGAAGAACTGGTTAGTTACCAAAATGACAATGGCCGTCCAAAAGCAGACACGTATAGACACTCGAAGTTGTATCATGCTGCTTTGGCTTTTGTGCATCTAGGAGATGCAAATGTGGAGTCATACAATGCTGCGATGTTACTGTTGCATCAAGCTGGTGAAAAACTACAGCCGCTCTGCATAACAAGAGATGGGATGGGGGTGGCCGATAAAGAAGCTGCTGCAAGGGCATTGGTGGAGGAAAACGACAGCGTGATGGCACAGCTTGATAACAATGATGAAGGGTTCATTCAGCAAAGCACCCACTACCAGAAACTGAAATTTTTCTGTGTGTTATAACTTTTCCTGTCGGGCCCGCACTAGCTCACAGGAAAATGGGCCATATTCCTGTGCGTCAGGCAAAAACTCACAGAAAAAACAATATTGATGTCGGTCCTGGCCCGGCCCACAGGACTAACCAATATCCCTGGCGTGCGTAACCCACAGCGAAAATGAAGCCCAGGTTTGCCGCCATGAATTCAGCCACGCGCGCGAAAACAAAGCCCGTCCCGCCGCTGAACTAATTTTTGGGCTGCCGCTCACCGGTTGGAAAACTTGGAATAAAGCCCCAGTGGAAAAATCCCAGTCATTCCCCACCCGAGCTAGACAGCGGCGCCCCCAAATCCCAGATCTGGCCGCCGCCAGCCATCGGCGTCCCAGATCCCTCGTCGTCTCTACGCAGATGCGCCCGAAATCCGTCGCCAACCTTGTTCAACATGTAACCGGAAGTTGAAACTAGAATAAGAAGTAACAGCGAACATTGGTTTCTCAGTTAATTTTCTCAAGATCGAGCAGTAAATAAGAATCATGAAAAAGACATTAGCAGGTTCTATACATAAACTTTTTTTGTCTTGTGTTGGTACATACGGTGCATAAGGTTTTTTACTTGTTCTTTCACCCTTCCAAAATTTATCATGAATAATTGTATGGCATGTTTTCTCCCATATATTACAATAACATTCAATGTCTAGTCTGCTCAAGATCATATGGTCTGTTTTGAGCCAATAGCTGCTACATTTGTTCAGTCTTAAACTCCTAATGTTACTTTCCATTCTATTTCCTTATGATTTTTTTATTGCCTGACTATCAAGTATGTAACAGTTTTGCTCTCTAATTTGTTTGTCCATACCTTTTGATTTATTCTCTTTCATTATTTTCTGATTTAGGAAGAATTGAACAAACATCACACGTTATCACTCAATGTAAGGAATTGAATAATATTCTTCCAAATGAAGTGGTACTATTCCCTTCCATATTTTGTTGTTGTATGCACATCAACCTATAAATTAAATATTGGTCAACCTAGAAATTGAATAAAATTCAAGATTCGGGATCTACGAGAGATGCAAGAGCTTTTGTTCTTATCAAGGTATTTTTACTTTTGCTTTCACCCTGGTCTCTAAACTTGTATCATTAATAATTATCAAATCAAGTTGCCTTGTGTATATTAAAACATACGGTGCTGTGTTCAGTGTGCCCAACATCCTCAGATCAACATTATTGAGCCAGTAGCTGCTATGTTGGTTTAATCTTGTCACATCCCTAGCTTCTGGTGCTGCCTGGTGTGTGCATCATGTTTAAATTCTGAAGTTTGAACTGAGGGAAATTGGAAGCCTCAAAACCCTAAATAAAGAGGGGCAAGAAACCCTAAAATTGCAATCAGTAAATCCAAAATGCCCTAGAAATAGCTCTGACAATTTTGGCAAGAGTTATAAATCAAACCAAAATTTTGGGACATTTCTAAGGAATTATTGGCCTCTGATTTTAAATCAATATTTTATTTGAATTTGGAGTTATATTCATAATATATAATGAATATATTTTCAAATGACCTGAGATATTTTTTGTTATGTGTGGAGAAGTCCATTAAGTGACTTAAAAATATCCAGGGGAGTTTTGGCACTGTTTTCAAATTCTGTTTGAATTAAAATTCAGTGCCAATTAAATAAAACAGAACAAAAATAGAAAACAGTAAATAAAAGCAGAGAGAGAGACTTACCTCAGCTTACCTGTCAGCCCACCCGGCCCAAACTTACCTGGCGCCACTTACCTGGCTCAGCTCCATCTGGCCGGCCCAGCCCACCTCCTCCCCCTTGTCCTCTTCCTCCTCTGCCAGGAGGACGAACAGAGGCGAGGCGTGGCGCGCGCCCGAGAGGCCTCGGCCACCTCCTGCTTCCCCCTGGCCACCTCCTGCCTGGTTGCCTCCCTCCTCGACGCCCGGAGACGCCACGCGCCTCCCCGACCCCCTCTCACTTCTCCCCCCTTTCTCTGGCTCCCTCTCTCCTCCACCGAGCGGAGCCCCGTCGCCACCGACGCCGTCC